TTTTTTGTTTTTATTACAAATTTATTTGGTATAATATTGTTTTACAATTTTGTATATATTAAGAATTAACATAAAATAAAAAGAACACGGAAACTCAAAGAGGATGGCAAGATCCTGTCACCGAGAACAGTTAAACAATGCGATACAAAATAAATAAAAACAAAATACCGATATTTACAATACAAGATTTTTACTAAGCCAAAACCAAACATAAAATACCGTCAAAATATGTAATAAAACTAAATATTTAAATAAAATATTCAAAAAAAATCGAAGATGTTATCTATTGTCAAGATAACTTTTTTCAGTTTATTTTTGAAAGTAAGAAAACTACAATTTTTAGAAAAATCAAAGTTTTTTAACTCTGTTTGGTTCCACAGAAAAGCTCCGCGATATGATGTAAGAGATCTTCCCAAATTTGTGTGCGAATAATGTTGATGAATAAGATTGTTATTTCTTAATTCATATTTGTTTCTTGGCTTTATTGCATATAAATTTTGAAAAAATATTGGGGTTAAGTTTATCTTACATTTGTACATAAAGCAAAAAACATTAAAAACATTTAGTTGATATATATTAAGAATATTCATGTCTATTAAAAGAGGTTATGCATGAGTATAACAATCTTTAAAATTTATTAGACGTGCTTGATGCTTCTGTTGCCGATAAAAAGGTTCTATTTGACTATTATTAGCACTACCCCACGCAATGTTAACATAGTTTACATTGGATTAGCGATTAATAAAGTTGAATTACAGGGTTTCTCACCTCATTTCGACAATGTATCACTACATTTCGATACTTTTGCATTCAATTTCGACATTGTATCACTACATTTCGACACTTTTGCATTCAATTTCGACACTGTTGCATCACATTTCGACAATTTAAAAACACTCTATTTTGAATTAAAGTATTTATATTTATGATGAAAATTTTTGTTAAATAATAATGGGTTGAATTTAAACGGGACAATGAAATAATTAATGTGGCTATTTTTTTAATTCTGCATTATTTAAAGTGGGTACTGACATCATGAGTATGGTTTTAATATTTTTTTGGATATACGTAAAATATATAGGTAAAATAAACAATGTGGATATTATTTATTTCAAGTTACCATAATAGTTGTTTTTAATTGCTATATTCATTATTTTTATTGACCGGATAAAGTATGTCTAATTGCCAAAAAAAAATATATACGCTTTGGAAAATATCCGAACAATACATAATTAAATTGTCATCAAAAAATAAATTAATGTTATAATTTTTTATTAAGTAAATAAAAGCATTTGACTCTTCAATACAACAAGAGTTCATAATAAAATCTTAAATATCATTTTCAATATTTATAAACAGCAATGCCGAATCAAACAATTATCAATGAAAACAGTTCAAGGATAGTTGAATCTTACTTAAATGGAAACTCACCATAAGAAATTGCAAATATTCTTGGATTTAAACGAACAACAATCTATTCAATTATTAAAAAATATAAAAATGGTTTGCCGATAGAACGGCAATTAAAAGGTGGTTCTAGAAACAAAAAATTAACAGAAGAATCTAATACTAATCAAAAATTGAATTGATGATAATTGTGGAATAACGCTTAAGGAAATTAAACAAAAACTTTTTAAACAAAAATCCATTTCAGTCAGTCAATCTACTATAGCAAGATGCATGATAGTTTTAATTATACTTTGAAACGTGTTCGCAATATTCCAGAGAGAAGAAATTCGAAAGACGTCATTAATGAAAGAGCTTCTTATGCAGAAAGATTCATGAACATTTTGTCTTCTATGAATGACAATAAAACATTCTTTATTGATGAAGTAGGATTTAGTCTTTCAATGCGAGTTAGAAGAGGACGTTCTTTAGCTGGAAAGAGGGTCAGTGACTACAGAAATATTTCCGTCTGTTGTGCAATGAACAAAAACAAGTTTTGAAATATGAAGCACAAACAAGAACATTTAATACAGAAAGCTTTTTAGATTTTATTCGCTTAGTATTAGCACAATTAGCTGTTAATGAAGTTGTTGGAGCTATCTTAATTTTAGACAATGTTCGTTTTCATAAAACTGCTGTTGTTCATAATGAAATAGTACGTGCTGGGCATTCTTTGATATTTTTACCTCCATATTCACCCTTTTTAAACCCTATTGAAAATATGTTTTCTGAATGGAAACAGTTTATCAGAAGATGTTCGTCTAGGACTGAGGAGGAACTGCTTGAAAATATACAAAACAGTGCATTGAATATTACTAGCACAAACTATAATAATTATTTTGCGCACGTACTGAGGTAATGATTCCGTGTTCAAGAAGAGAACCAGTTATTGAAGAATAAACTTACTTTTGTAATTTTTATTTTTATTAGCGAGTATTTGCAATTACAATACTTTATATACAATAATTTTTTTGTTTAGATTTTAGTTTGTATCCAAACTAAAAAATTATATTATCTAAATGAATTTAACTGAATAAGTTAAATTCATTTAGATAATATAATTTAGAATCTAACTGCCTTATTTGTATATTAATTTAAGTATTATTACGCTGTCGAAATTGAATGCAAAACAGTCGAAATCAAATGCAACGGTGTCGAAATTGAATGAAACATTGTCGAAATGTACTGATACAATGTCGAAATTGAATGATACGTTGTCGAAATGAAGTGGGAAACCCTGTAATGCATGTCTGTTTACAAAATTTCTCGCATTATACAACACTCCAATATTTTTTAAGACTTTATTGCATAATGTTTCGATATGATTTTTCCATGTTAAGTTTTCATCAATAAAAACACCAAGGAAATGTATAACTTTTGATTGCTTTATTTGAACATTGTCAATATATATTTGAGGCATATCATTTGGTAAAAATTTTTTTTTGGATTTTGGATGAAATAGAGTCCATTGAGTTTTTTCTAAGTTAACTGATAATTTATTTGTCTTAAACCAATTTGAAATTTTAACTAACTCTATGTTTATGTCATTAAAAAGTGTAACAATATCACTACTGGACAGAAAAAGGTTAGTGTCATCGGCAAACATCACTGTCGTTAAATTTGAGGCATTGTTAATGCAGATCATTAACATAGACGAGAAAAAGGAGTGGCCCCAGTATAGATATATATATTTATTTGATAAAAATAGTATATATAAATTTGATAATTAATATCTTCAAGCTTCAACAAATCAACCCGTTATTGTTTACAGTAGTCATATGGTTATTATCAATTTCCAGATTATTTTATTCTGTTGGTAACGTATTATTCATAACATTCTTTTTTCTTTAAAGCATCAGCTCGATAAATAAAAAAAATTAGGGTTTCAAGCCGGCTTTTTTAAGAACAGTTGATGAATTACTAAGGGTTTTTGACTTCTTTAGTTTCATATTGCTGATTGTGAGTAAATAAAATTTCATTAATGGCGCCAGTTGGTTAATATCCAATTTTGTATTTTCAATGGTTATAAAACTTAGGCATTTTTATTACAATATAAGTTAACAGTAGTTTTTGTTGTTTTTTAAATTAATTTATAAAATTACTTTCTGCCCTTATAAATTTGTTTGTAGCCATATAGCTACTCTGACCAAAACCAAAAATGATTGGTACAAACTGTTAATTTAAATTAATAATTTGCACCAATGAAATTATTTTTTACTCAAAATAATTTTAATGTGAACCATAAAGGGATAAGAAATAAAGTCATCCTAGTCAGAACTATTAAAATTGCAAACAAAAAAATTGATAAGACTGATTTCAAATTGTTTGGAAAATTATAATTTGCAGAAAAAAGATCATATAATTGAACTGTTCAAAAGCATATACAGACTTATTATCTCCAATATTTAATATTTGAATATAAGGATAGAGAAACCAATCTTAAAGGATAGAGAAACCAGTCTTCTAATAACACATAGCTGATTTTTGTACTAACCAGCAATCAGAAACTATTGACACTCCCAACTAATACATTGCTATCTGACATAAAAATATCAGCAAAAAAATTCAGCTAAAATTTAATCATCATTACATAAATGTAATGACAATCAAGTTAGCTTTTGTTTTCAACACCAAAGAGTACTTATATGAAAAAATCATAATACAAGTATAAAAAAATGCATTTAAGTCTATTTAGTATCTTGTTAGATGTGAAACTTTTTTACAAATATAAAAGTAAATAGTCAAAGTTTATTTCAAAATAAACTTAATTATATGTTTCATTCCGAATACTTTATAATAATAAAAAACAACTTTTTATGTCTTATCTTGCATAAAAACCACATCTCATCATATACAAGTTATTATTGATATTGGCATTAGTAATATCAATATGTATAATTTGCAATGTCGCAAAATACAAAAAGTAAGTAAAATAAAAAGTACAGTACATAATAAAACAATATTAAAACTCATAGGTGCAAGATGATTCTGTTAAACTGAAATGTACGCCATATTAAAAAATCAGTTTTTTTGCGCAGCTATCAGTATAAAATTATACAAATGCATTAACCAATCTTGATCCAATACATTCTTGTTAATTCTAGTTAATGCAAGCCAACAAACGCAGAGCCTCAGCAAATTTGACAAAATGATGGCATATAATGGCCTATTTTACTTGTTAAAAAAAAATTATTATGGTGTTTTGTTATTGGTGTATTCACGCAGCGTTTGCTGGATATAGAATGCATAAAATAAAAATTAGTTCTATAGCAGACTAAAATAAACTAGCAGTGTGTCAAATTTAAAAACACATCTTACTAAAATCAACTCTAACATGTTTTTGAAACGCGGTTAAATAAAAACAATTTCTTAAGACAAATTTTAATTTTTTTCTCTTAATAAAAAAGTATAAGCTTTTGTTTTTTGTTTAATCAATCAATTTTTTTTTTTTTTTTTTATGAAAATGAAAACCATTTTTTCAAAATATTTAAATTTTTTTAAAATTAAAATAGGTACATAAGTTTTTTATTTTAAACGTTGCATTTTTTTTTTAGGTTATTGGTTTACTAAAATATTAATAACTGTTGGTTGCATGACTTACATTCTTGCTTTTGGATTAAACGTTTTTACTTATTTGAAGAAAGTAGAGAACCATAGACTTTCTATTTATATGCTAATACTGACAGGTAAGCCTTAACAATGAAATAATTTAAACACAAATCTTTTTTTAATTATAAAAAATTTTAACTTTAAACAACGGCATCAGTTTTTTGTCTTTGATGAAACTTTTTATCAAACTGTTGTATCTATTATATATTATTGCCGAGCTTAATAGTGTTAGTAGTAGTGCGCTTTCGAGCCTGTGCGACACGGTACATTTGGCAGCCATTGCAAACGACGTAATGGCGAGAAAAAGTCGCAGCACTTTGTTTTAGAAGAAAACATGAACGAACGTGTATCTAATTATCTAACGTACGTAAACTTTAAATTGAGTAATCTTAAAACAAATATTAAAACAAACTTAAACATTTATTAGATTTTACAGGTTGATTTTTGCATTGCGTCAAGCTCTCCTTAATTTTGATCTATAAACTTTTTTGCCTTTAAAAATTATTACACTGTTTTTAAAAATATTCGCTTGAGTATGTACCATTAAAAATTTTACGTATATTATATCGGTATTTGCAAAGAAACATTATATAAATCGTTTTTTAATATATTTTTTTTAACTTATTGTATAGATAAGTTTGGCGCTTAACCATTCCTATATAAACGATTTATATAAACAATTATGTTATTTGTTTATGTATATTGTTTATAAAATGTAAAATATCCACTTATATAACATTTTATTCAGGATCTTATGTAATATAAGTAAATTTTTTAATAACTATGAATCTTTTTTGGTCTCGCTGTTTTGTTTTGATTTTTCGTATGTATGTTATTTATATTAAAAAAACTGACAAGGTTGAAAAATCACGAAATATATTGTTTCATCAAAAAAAAAGTAAAATTCGAAACTTTAATTTTAAATTTGCCCCACACTTGATATTTTCTGATTGTTAAAAATATATTATCTGTTTTTTAGACCGTTAAAAATGATAGATGAGACTTTTTTGTAAATCGTCGAAGTCACAATTTTCTTGCGTATATGACGTCACTTTGTGTCAAAAAAAAGTAGAAATACAAACAAGAAATAAATTGATTTAAATTTTTAAAAAAAAACTACTTCTATTAAAAATAGATCAAGGAGTTGTTATAGGGTAGCTGGAGTGTAAATGAGGCCGATAATGAATATAAATTGCGTTACAGTCTTTTTAGTATAATTATTCAATGTCAAGTCAAAATGGCGCTTTTGCAAACAAATGAAAATTTTTGAAATGAAATCAGTAAGCTTTGAGAGTTATAATCGAAATAGATTAATAAAATTAAAGTTTGTTGTATATATTTTAAACAATTATTTAATCAATCAAGAAGTTAATTAAAACAAAAATCATAATTAATGTAAAGTAATAGTTTCTTGCGTACCACAGTTATAGGTATAAATATCAAAATTTTAGACAGTCTCTACTTCCAATTTGAACCATTTTTTTTTGCTTGCCTGTTCAGCTATAGGTTAGTTACGTTCTTTAAGAATGTTTGTTTGGCAAGAAACTTATTAAATCCCTCCAGGATTTTGTTTTATGTTGGAGAATTTTTGGTGAATTTAAAAGCAAATTGCTTCTTTTTATATAAAATACATGTCAAAAATATAAAAAATATAAAAATACTACTAATTCTTATTTATATATTTGTTAATTCAATTCTAATCTAGGAATTTATTATTAGTCGTTCAAAAAGCACAACAAAAAGTTACAACAAACTGATTTTAAATATTGTTTACGAATTTTTTGAACTTCCATTTCTCTACTTGCAATGTTTTAAAAAATATTATGAATATAAAAAAAAGTCAGAATTTCACCAATGACAATTTTTTTTGTCAAACAAACAAATAAATCAGAGTGTTTTTATTTAAAAAAAAAGCTTTTAAACTTTTTCAGAGATTTAAAATCTTAATGTGTTGACTGCGATAATGTTTTGAATATAAAAGACATTAATTCAAATGAGTCTTTTATTTCTAACACATGTACAATCTTTAAAAATACCTTTAACCTATGTAAAAATATTTTACATTGCCAAGTCTGGAGTCTGGAGTCTAGAGTCATAGCATGCCATGGCATGAGCAATCAGCTGACAGGTGACAGCACACAGCCAAAATTTCGTTGACAAGTGGCAATTTTCAGCGGACAAAACAAGTGCAACTTTTTTGGTTTGTTTTATTTTCTTATGTCTGGTCCGTCTCAACGTCACGGAAATTTTTTAATAGTTAAAGGAAGTATCCAGAAGTTTCCAGAATCTTCTAGAAGTTTCCAGAAGAAGCATTTGGAAGCTTCCAGAAGCATCCAGAAGTATCCAGAAACATTTAGAAGCATCCAGACGCATCTAGAAGCTTGCAGAAGCATCAAAAAGATGCATATAGAATCTTTCAGAACAGAACAGGTTCACACAGGTTAATTTTACTATATAAAAGACTTGTAAACCGACATGTAATTCAGTCAGTATATGGAAGTCAATCAGTCAGTATTGCCAAGACAGTTTATTGAAGTGAGTTTTATCAAAGTGTTTTATCGAAGAATATAAATACAAGAACTGCAATACAACAAGTTTTTCATTACATCAACACAGTCGACATCCAAATAAGACGTTGTGTTCCGCAGAGCATTATTGTATCATCACAAGGTTAATGTAACACGGTAAGCCTTGAGAAGCGTGATGATTTTTATTATTTTTATGACTTCAAGAGCAAAAATTGCTCCCGACAGTCTTGGATTGGAACTAAAAAATAAAATTATTGGCGATTACGTAAGTGGAATGTAACAAAAAAGTATTTGTGATGAATATCGCGTAAAAAATCAAGACTATGTTCTAAATATCGTTCTACGGGCAAGTTGGCAGCAGATAACAAAGGTGGAAGACCGCATTCCACCAATTCTAGAGAAGATTCTATGATCGCCAAATCCGTCAAGAAGGATCCCTGGATATCATCAGTCAAGGTACAAAAGCAATTAGAACTGTCTGTATCGGACCGAACAATAAGACGATGTGCTGTTGAAGCCGGATTGTTTTCTCAACTCCCTGCAAAGAAACCGCTGATTTCACTAAAGAACCAGAAAAAAAAACTCCTGTTTGCCACATCTCATATTGACTGGAATGTCTAGAAATGGCAAACTGCCCTGTTTAGTGATGAATCGAAGTTCACCATCATTGGGAGCGATAGCATTTACCGTGTTCGTCGAGCGGCCGCAAATTTACGTCGACGCCTCGATTTACGTTACTGCCATAAGACTGTGAAGTATGGTGGAGGCAATGCAATGGTTTGGGGATGTTTTTCTGCTAACAGTCTAGGTCCAATACATTGAATCAATGGAAAAATGGACCGTTTCATGTATAAAAATATCCTGAAAGATGTTACGTTACCTCATGCTAAATGGAATATGCTAATAAAATGGGTTTTTAGCAAGGCAACGATCCGAAACATACTGCAAAAGTAGCCTAGCAATGGTTTTAAGACAATTGGCCGCCTCAATCTCCGGATTTCAACCCTATTGAGAACCTGTTGGAGATTGTCAACGGCAGAGTTAATCGTGAAGGTGTTCGTAATAAGGATCAACTGTTTTAACAATTCCAAAAGGCCTGGCAGCGAGTCCACAAAGTTTTATTGATCACCTGATTGAATCTATGTCTCGAAGATGCATGGCTGTGATCAACAACAAAGGATTCGCCACGAAATATTGATAGCGAAATACAGCTTGGACAACATTTTGTGGAGTTGCACTTGTTTAGTCCAGAAGAAAATCAATTTTTTTTAATACTTTTGATTAAATAATTAGTTTTCGTGAACCAATAATGAACTTTGTGATGAATAAAACTTGAAGAACTTTGTCTATAAACAGTTACATAGTTATTTCTCTAAATTGTAAAAATGCAATATATATATATATATATATATATATATATATATATATATATATATATATATATATATATATATATATATATATATATATATATATATATATATATATATATATATATATATATATATATATATATATATATATATATTCGCAATTTTTCTACCACTTTTAAAACTTTTAGTAGGAAGTAATAACATTAAAATTTTTGATTTTTTTTTTTTATATTTAAGTTTATTAAGACTTTTAATCAAAATAAAATGGAATCTTCTTTAAAAAAAAATCAAAACCTAATAAAAATTGTTTCAAAAAACCCTAAAATCCGCTAATATTCAACTAATAAAAATATACTTACACATTTGTACATTTTTTTAGTATTTTTTTAAAATAAATTTTAAAATTTTTTATTAATTATTATGTTTTCTGAAAATATATTTCATCATAAGCTTTTTTTGATTAATACTTAAATATTTAATAAAATGCCACCGAAAAAAAAAAGTTCGAAGTATTAGATTGGATAAAATATTTTTATTTAAAAAGTTAATTGAAAAACTTCCAGCAAACAAAACTTGCAACCGCTAAAAAAACAATTTAATATTATATCTTTTTACAAAGACCAATGTGTGAAGAAAAGGTAAAGTTTTTAGTAGGTTGTGCTTACTAAAGTTCTTCTTTTATACTTAGTTGTCCAGTTAATCAGTCCGACTGATGTATACTGTCTAAACTAATGGCTCCTTGGATACTTGGTGGATTTAGAGTGCTTACAATACAAAAGCTAAAGCAATATTTTTATTCAGTTCTAATTTACTATAATCCATGTTTGTTCGATAATTATCATGTTAAATAATGTTTTTACAGAATTAAAATTAAGAAACTGTTGAAGAATTTGATGAAATTATAAGAAAAAAAAATAAATTTTTTTGAGGAATAAATAAAGTATTTTGGATTGTAAAACATCCTCATGTTATGTTTAAAAAAATTTTAAAAGATAAAACGAGAAAAGTAAAAGATAAAGATATTGCTTTCTTAAAAGACCAGCTTATTTAAAGAAAAAGATTGGGGGTAGAGATATAAGTATTCTGTAGTAAGAAGTAAAAGATGCACATCAAAGTTAAATAGAAATCCATCAACAGAATTTTATAAGAATGATTTAGATTATCAAAATTCTACTA